CAATTTGCTCATGTAAGGCGATACCACTGAGCATAGACCATCTTTGCTAGAGTCTATAGATATACGTACCTGGCTTTGCACTCTCATTCCAATGATGCACCTCTTTAATCAAAAAAGTGGAACTGCTCGATGTTCCATATTAAAATTCATTAAAGCCAAGTTGTATCATTATGCTCCATAAAAGTTATTAGTGTCCCGTTCACGACATTGTACTCAATAAAATGAATGAAGAGTTTTATTGGGGGAAACTCCTGATGGAAAAATATTGGAAATGAAAAATCCTCCAAAGAACCTTTTTCCCTATGCGATAGTAAGGAGGTCCTGATGGTATTGAGCTGCTAGTTTACTTTATAATGTCAACTCACAATTGAATTTGATTGTATTGTAAATTTTAAATACTTAATACATAGAGATTGTATTTACATGCTGGATTTTTTAATGAAAAATATAATTCAATTATTTTGATTTATTTTAATGATAATATATGCAACATTTCCAATCACTATATAATTTTCTTCATGAAAATGAGAATATAATTATGTATCTTAATTTTATTTATCTATTTATACAACAAAGCAATGATATTTTTTAATTTCAATTATTTTTCATGGTGAATTTTTTTATTTGTTTTTGTCAAATATTCATTTTAAATCATTTTCAAATAAGATTACTTGTTATTTATTTTGTAGGTAAAAGGATTATTTGGTCAAAGCATGCAACGGGCTTTTAACTTAATCAATATTTAATTTTTTTAACATAATATTGCATATATAAAGTACCAAATATATTAATTAAAGTAACTTTCTTTTTCCATAAATAGTAATCTTTCACTTGAAAAAGACGTGTATTTACATTAAATTACATTTATCTAATTAATTTTATTTATATAATTAACATAAAATAACTTTTTTTAATCAGTATTCTGTCATATACAGGTGTATTTGCCTTAAAATCAATTCTCACTGGAGTGTTAGAGATGTTGTATGTTTAATATGTCCTCTAACTGTTTTTTCTTTTTTTTTTTTCAGACAGTTGAAATATGGGAAATGATTCGAATGATTGCAACGGCTCGTATAGTGATGCCAAAAGCGATGGTGAGGTTGTCAGCTGGGAGAGTTCGTTTCTCAATCTCTGAGCAGGCATTGTGCTTTCTTGCTGGTGCAAACTCTATTTTCACAGGTGAAAAACTGTTGACGACAGCCAACAATGATTTTGAGGCGGATCAAATCATGTTCAAACTGCTTGGATTAATTCCCAAGCCTTCTCAATCAAACGACTCTGATCTAGAAAATTGTGAAGAAGCTGCTTCTGCTTCACAATGACCTTACTGTTCTTGTGCATTTCGTATTTCTATCTACCTCAGTGCTGTGTATATGCCTGTTCTACAAGAATCTAATTATTTTTGTCAAGTGTGTTTGGTGTAGAGTGCAACAGAGTGTCATTGACTAGTTATGTTTCCGTTTAGAGCAGGAGAAGTTTATCTTCTAAGGTTGTAGGTTTATTTCTGTAGCAAGAATAGTTTGATTATAATCTCACTTAATAGTTTTACCAATTCCTTTTTAAATTTGTCTAAAAATGCCACTAATGAAAATAGAATACCATAAGATCGGAATTATAGTTTGATTATGATCTTCTGTGCATATGCACATGTTTATGAATATCAGTTATTTTTTCATGTTCCCCACAAATTTGTTGGTATCAGTCGATATTCCTTTTTGAGCTAAATTTACTTTTATAGGCAAAATGTCCTTACACAACCTCTGTACAAATGTTTACTTCGAGATGATATGAAGTGGCCCAAATTTTTTCCATTGAAATCCCATTCCAACTGAGGTTGAGTTATCCTTTTCTAGTAAACTCTCACTCCATGCTCTATGATCGTCAAGTTTTATTGAGTAGGACCCCTCCTTGGGATGAGTCCAAATAAGCTTGTATGGTGACTTATACTAACTAGAATAATGAAGACGAGATTTGTTTCAAGCAATGAGAAAGACTCATAATAATGGAGGTACTTGGTATTTACTTGCTACACTATTAAGTGTACTAATTGTACAAGTAATAAAATGATAAGTGTGTATCGTTTATAATAAAGATTGTTTTAATGTAATTTATAGTTAACTAAACTCTTATATTTATTGAAATACTTAAATGATAAGATTTCTGAAAAAATATGTCATTTTCACACTTAATTGTCTAAAATATCTTTATTTAAACAACTAATTTTTTTTGTTAAACCTATACATATCCTTCATTAACTCATTTCAAAAAATATAAAAGAGAAAGAAAAAGATCCAAAGTTGAAAACCAAACATCATTTCAGAAATCTTCTCTTCTCTTCGAGCTTTATTTCTAAATATCTACTTTGAAAGAATTTTGAGATAACTTTTAAAATCTTCTTCGAATAATATTTTTATGAAGCATGCTTGCAGTTCTTCTCAAAGATAATTTAAGAAAGAAATTCAATAGAAACAATCTTTACTTGAATATAAATAAATTTTTCTAAGTTTGTGTTTCTATTATTATACATTCTCTTTTATAAAAGAATACTTTGAAGTTGCTTTATGGAAAGTTTTTTTAAAGATTATTTACTTGGTTTTAAATGAGATTAGGTATGTGATGTCAAAGAGTAAAATGTATATTATTTTTAAAAATGCATTGACATAAGACCTTCTCACTTGAAGATATCTATTATAGATAAAGAATATAAATCTTTTGTATTGAATTTTCCTACTATATGAGAATGTCACTTGGACATAACTGGTTTTTCTGAGGCAATCATTCTATAATCTTATAAGTTATGTTCTCCTCCAAGGCCTTTATCTCACTCTTATAGTTTCTACCTAGTGAGAGCTCTCACAAGCTTCCCTCTATGTATTAGATTCTAATTGTAAACTCACGGCTAATAGGTATCTTATATGATCTTGATTGCAACTGTTGTATGTTAAGGTTGATGAGACGAGAACTGATCCTCCTGGTCATATAGATTCTTCCTTTCATCCTCCTGATTCAGATTCAAGTGACTTAATTGACTCATACACATAATCTTTTAGATGTTAAGGAACCTTTTTGATCCTAGTTGACCTTCTTCTAGTTGGAGTTTCTTTAAGTGGATGGCTTTGAAAGCAATTATTTTCATCAATCTCCTCTTCCTTATCTATATGCTCTTCTTCCAGGTTCTGTAGTCTACATTTCTGCTTTGCTCTATCTCTTCTTCTTGTATCATTTGTGTCTTAATTGGGACCTCCATATGTCTCACCTCCTCCTAAACTCCACAAAGATGCTTATTCATGCTCTGATTGACCTTGTCAATTTTGTATAGAAACACCTTTTTTAAAAGATCAAATTTCTTAAGATGATCACCTTGCCTATCTCCATCTTAAGTAGTCTGTATCTTCTATTCTAAATGGGTAACCAAGAAATATATTTCTTAGCTTTAGGGTCAATTTATGTCTTTCTACAATTAGGGTCGATGAAATGCCAAACAACAAAACACTTTAAGATGCTTATAGTCAGGTTTGATTTTAATTAATACCTAATATGGAGTTTTATTTCATTGTTGATTACTAAAGATGGTATCATGTTTATCAAGTAGACCGCAGTTAAAATCATCTCACTCTATTACTTCAAGCCAAGCCCACTTTAGAATCTTAGGGCCCTAACTACATTGAATATTTTATGATGCTTTCTATTCTCTCATTATGTTTTGATATTCCTATGGAGCTTATTTGATGGATTATGCCCTTATCTGCATAAAACTTCGTCATCTCGAACTCATTCCGATTGTTACTTCGGATCATCTTGATCTTCTTCCCAAATTAGGTCTCAATCATGGTACAAAAGTTTTGTAAGTTAAGGTTGGTTTTAGCTTTAGTTCTTATAAATACATCCAAGTACACCTGCTATAATCGTCAATAATTGAAAGAAAATATTTATAACCATCATATGAAACCTCATTACACGGTCCCCAAATTTCATAGTGAATTAACTCAAAAAAAATATTTTGTTATACTTTCACAAATAGAAAAAGAGATTTTATACATCTTTGTTCGATTGAAAACATCAAGATATTTGAAATTTATGTTCTTCTAATTACAAAAAGGCAATCCTGAATTATTCTAGGATGGGTGCCCTAGGCGATAATGCCACATTTCAAATAATTTACCTTAGTGGGGCCCAAAGAAACTACATCAAAAAATGTTTGTTGAGATAATTCCTTGATCCTTCCTCATTGCTTGAATTGATGTAACCCATTCTTCAGATCACCCACTCCAAGGATCCTTTATGTCATAAGGTTCTATATCACACACAATTTTAGTGTGAATATCAAGCAACATTTAATGTTCTTTGCCAATTTTCTTGAAATATTAAGTTAAATTTAAATGATATTACACACAATACATTCCTAAGATCAAATCATCATTTATTTTAATAGTCGCTATATGACATATACTGACTTTATTTCTATTTGGTAAGGTCACTTTAGGTGAAATGTTATTAATGGTGTCTAAGTACAAGTTGTTGGGTTTTAATTTATTGTGTGGACTTAATGTGAGCCTTATTTTGCATAAAAGATTATTAATTTTATTAAGTTTATTTAAAAGTGATCAGACACAGATATTAGACCTTAATGCATTTGGTAAAATATGGGTCTCTTTCATATATAGAGATAAAAAAATGTTATTTCTGATTTTATGATGGAGTTAATAAGAAATAACGAAACTTGACGATATAAAAAGGAAGTTATGG